TCTGGGTCAGCACCGAGGCCGCCTCCAGCAGGGCTTTGTTGATGTCGGTCCCTGAGGAGGGGAAAGGCAGAAGAATCCTGATTTGCAGCCTTCCATTGAACCCCCTCCCAGAGCCGGGGAGAGAACCCAGGAGTCCTGGCTCCAACCCCCCCCGCTCTAACCACTAGACCCCACTCCCTTCCCAAAGCCGGGGAGAGAACCCAGGAGTCCTGGCTCCCAGCCCCCCCTGCTCTAACCACTAGACCCCACTCCCTTCCCAAAGCCGGAGAGAGAACCCAGGAGTCCTGGCTCCCAGACCCCCTGCTCTGACCCCTGCCCCCCCTGCCACCCCAGTGACTCACATCCATCGGCTTCCATCCTGTGAACGTAGTCCTTGGCACTGCGAACGTTGTGGGCCGTGGCCAGGATGGAGCGCCCGGCCTTCCACACGTGGACGGTGTCGGAGAAAGTGACGATGTTGAAGCAGTCGTCCGGGTGAAGGTCGCTCAGTATGATGTGCATGGCCTTCTTGGTCTGGGGGCAGAAACGCAGCATGGGGGAGTTCTGGGGGGTGTGGAGGTGAGGGGCAGGGCAGGATGGGGTGGATTTCAGTGAGGGTTTAGACGGTGAAAGGGCGGCACCAATTGGTCTGGCTCTGTCGTTTCGTTTCATCGTGGGATTGTGGGGTGGCGTTACGCTGATCTGCGTTACGTGTGCTATGGGATACACAACCACACACTGATGTGTGTCGGGGACACCCCCCCCCCGAATTCTACCTAGCGAGAGAATTGGCTCTGTACCAGTACACAGTACAGAAAATAGGAGAGCCGATCTACATTGTATTTAGAGAGTCACACCTCATCTGTAGCTATAAAATCCCCATATAATTAGATACATTACAACGGGATAGTCATCTTTTATTTGCAAAAAGAACAGGAGTACTTGTGGCACCTTAGAGACCAACACATTTATTAGAGCATAAGCTTTCGTGGACTACAGCCCACTTCAAAATACTCAATAACCAGTGGGAGAACACTTTAACCTGTCTGGTCATTCAGTGACAGACCTGCGGGTGGCTATATTACAACAGAAAAACTTCAAAAACAGACTCCAAGGAGAGACTGCTGAGCTAGAATTGATATGCAAACTAGACACAATCAAAAAAGGATTGAATAAGGACTGGGAATGGCTGAGCCATTACAAACATTGAATCTATCTCCCCTTGTAAGTACTCTCACACTTCTTATCAAACTGTCTGTACTGGGCTAGCTTGATTAGCACTTCAAAAGGTTTTTTTCTCTTACCAACTCTGTCCCCATATCTATTCAAGTGACATCCTCATAGAACCTAATCACATCAGCCATACCATCAGGGGCTCGTTCCCCTGCACATCTACCAATGTGATATATTCCATCAAAGGGCAGCAAGGCCCCACTGCAA